ATATATTTTTCTGCGAGGGCACTCTAACAAAGCGTTTTAAGATACCTCACGGTTAATTCCCATACCCCAGTACATCTCTTCACTCTAACGTGATCACCTCCCCACCACAAAGCATCCAAGCACACAGCTTCACCCTTTCAACCATCCACATAACCAACCACTGAGCTAGTCAGAGTCTCTGTAGAAACCATGGCAGACCAGGCAAAAAACAACCAGGTCAAGGGAGAGAGTGCCTCGAAGAAAGAGGATCAAGTCAAAGATGAGTTGACTGCCAACAACAAGGGCCAAGTCAAGGAAGATGGCCTCGTTAAGAAAGGCAACCAAGTGAAGAAGAACGGCGAAGACGAGAAGGGTGCGACCCACTTCCCTAAATTCTTGCTTCTCCCGGCTGAGCTCCGTCTCATCATCTGGGAATACGCCTTGCCCGAGGGACGTGTCCTTCGTATCGTTCCTAACGAAGAGACCGATGACGAAGATGACGATGAGGGCAACGATGAGGATGACTATGACTACAACGATTACAAGAAGTACAACAAGAAGGGAATCGACCAGTGGGGTTTTCCGACCTGCTGCTACGCCCCCGAGATCCTCAACGCGGGAAAATTCGTGGACTTCCCTCTCGCGTAAGTACTTCCTGACTGCTCTAGTTACTACCAAAGGAACGAGAACTGCTGCCTCCTATTTCAGCAAGACTTATGCCTTCGCTGGGTATTCATATTCGGAGCACTTGGGGGCCTCGTTCGAAATAATAAGTACTAACTCTGAGTATTACAGTCAAGTCTGCCAAGAGTCTCGCGAGTTCATTATCGACTTCGGCTACGAGCTTCTTTACAAGAACCTCATGACCGTTAACGGCGATCTCTGCTGGGGCCCGTGGTTCTGCGACGAACGCGACTCGATTGAGGAGTTTACCGACGACTTGATTATTGGTCTCTCTCGCGGCCATAGCCGAGGAGACTGGATTTATGAGTAATCGGGAGTGTATCAGTTCAGGTTCACGTTGAAGCCCATGTTCATGCTGGGGCTCAGGTTAATGGTGAGGCTCAAGTTCACGTTACTATCAATAGCTGGCTGGATGGGCGTCGAAGAGAAAGAACTCGTGGAAGGTAAAAAAAAAAGGTGAAGACATGGTGAACCCTGTCAGACAATGTGTGCGCATTCCAACAATGCGTGCAATTAGGGACTAGTTTATGACTCACGGGATAACGAATCAATGATTTTCTTTGACATCAATATCCTGATTTCTCGGGATGATCGTCTGAATCGTGACACGTTGACAACTAGGTATCCTATCGGTAATTGACTCCCTTGTTAAGTTGTCTGGTACAGATTACCAGTCTATCTCTACCAGCGCCCATTCCGTTTGATATTTTCCAGAACAATTTCTATAGCGCGAGAGTCATGCCGATGGACAAGAGTGATTTCCCACTATCTCTAGACTGCCCCGGTCGTGGTCGCTGAAGTAGATATCGCGTATGCTTGTAGCCCTTCGCCTGGGAAGTTCACGATCCAAGGCTGCTACGTTGGTGGAAAAAAAAAACAAAAAAAACACGTGGGATTAATGCATATTTCATTATCAATTGGGATGCATGCACTCGGGGTTATTGGGACTTTGATTGAACGCGTAGTCCCTTGATCTTGCTAATTTGCCTTTAAATGATGTTGGTGAACAGTCATGGGCTACTAGGTAAAAGAACAGAAACTTGTCTGGGAGTAGCAGTAAATATGAATAAGAAAGATTTATTTATTGTTTACGATTTTCTTACAAGATGAAAAACAACCTGTTGATAGGTCATCGACCCTCTTGCTTACCGGCATTAAATCCCGGGCTCGAGTTAGTATGTTCTATGTTAGACGCGCTTCCAATCCTACAACTGGCATTGACTAGAAAACGGGTACTCTTGCAAAGCAAGCGACTGGATGCTTAATTGCTGATTGTCACGTGTAGTAGCCGATCATTGGGCACATGCCTGTCAATTATCCTTGAACCTCGCCTTTGTGAACCTAGGATAGGCGAGCGCCCTGGGCTTGATCTGCATACTCTGGTCTGTCTGCTAGGCACAAGGCCCTCCTGTATTCCTTCTGTTGGAAAATTTCGCGCGGACTTGATATCCCATCCATCACCTGTTTCATGAGACCACATTACTCCTTTCCAGCAACGTATGTAATGAATGCACAGTATCAAATATTGTCGTCGAGATAAAAACCTGAAGGTTGTACAGCTCAATCCTATCTTGCACTCTTTCACGTTGTCTGAAACGGGGCCATGCTCAAAAGAGTGATGTCTTGTGGTATTGTATTTACCAACATTATTAGATTAATGTGTCCGGCTGAGGTTGCCCAAGCCATCTAGCAGTTATTAATATGGCTTCAAATTAACCCTCAAGTAGGGGAAGTACCTGGCTTTCTGACCATCCTTGAGTTTCCGGCTAGCTCGGGAACGGGGGATCAAGTCAGCACTCAGACGAGTACCAGCTTGAAGAGTAGGTTCCTTAAACCAATGTCTGTTACTCCATCCTTTCCATTCATTGTGCACAATTTGCCTTGGTTGGGCTAAAACTGCGAATGAAAAAAACAAGGGCGAGTGGCAGAAGCTACAGCCATAGTAGCTTTGGCAGCAGATGTCCTTCTATTCGTAGCCTTCCTCATGTGTGAAAGAACTCGGGCTCAGATATGATTCTGAGGTACTCGATTACTATATTAGAAGGAGTAAGACTGTGAGAATATATTGCACTGGTCGCCCATCAGTGAATATTTAAGGTAGAAGCGAGTGTGGTCTGGAATACAATTCAACCAGATTGACGATACTGAGGGTTGTTCGTGACTGTTTGTAACTTGCTAAGGACTGCTTCCGTAACGACTGGGGTGAGATATGGGATAGAGTTGCTCTTGTTGTAGAGTATCTTGAATTATACGTTGGCCGTTGAGGTCAGCTCCGATTGACTATCTGTAGACGGTCAAATGGATGCGAGCGAGACTGGTTTCAGTCAAAATTCAAGCAAAACGTTTGGATGAGCCTAAAATTCGATGACCTGGACCAGTTAGGATTGCTCATTAAGATATTAAGTTGTTTTATATAATGTAGGGGGTAGTTCGGATACCAGAAATTTCTGGTTGTCGGGCAATTCGCGATAAAGCATAGACTCATCACTGAAGTCTTGTGTAGGTCGCGTCATATGGGGGTATTCATGGAGGGCAGGTTGTCGATGGTCGGTGTAGTTTGTAGGATAGGTTAGATTGTGTATTATGGCGGCTGTTGTAGGGTCGTCGAAGTTTCGTCGGCGTAGCGCTTGTACTATCAATTCAACTTGAGCAGCTGTGTGATATCTATGTGTGTCTATACAAGCGATCACAAAAAGGATGAATCGGACAACACTAGGCCGTGTATTAGTATCGCAATATTGTCAGGCATCGCCACCACTCACGCGAAGAGTCCCAGAAAGACCACCAACGCTATCTGGAACGGTCGAAGAGATAAGGGAGCCCAGGGAGCGTAGGCATATCCCTCTGCGGGTGGGATTAGGGTTGCTATGAAGATGAGGGCGACAAGATTTCCACCTAATAGAACCAGCTCGACACCGATGTGCCACCCAGGCGGGATGCCGGGATTCCGTTTTCGGAGAACGCTGCACGTCAATTCGGTGCAGTCGGTGACGATGCTGAGTAGCGTCTAAGAGGTAGACGGTGAGCTTGGGCAGTAGAGCAGAGAAGTATTCAGGTCAGGCGACATACAACGGGGAGGGTAAACCACCAGTCGACCCGGAGATAGTCTCTCCACCCGGACCAATTTCTGACGCGAACACCATTGTTCACAGACAGGCCGATCACGATGATGCTCAAAGCAAAACTGACGCATCGGAAGATGAGCTTGGTCGCATTCCACCTTCCTTGGTGATAGGACCACCAACTATCTGTGTCTTTGTCCTTATCTGCCATCGGGGAATGTGAGAAGACCAGCCGATAGAGATAAAAGCGCTGCAAGGCCGCGGGGCAAAACCCAAGGCATGTGGAAGTCTAGCGGAAAGCCTTTAGAGCCAACTTCATTGATCCTGGAGGGGAAAGAGTAAGACGAAACTGTCGCCGTAAGAACACAGTAACTGAACGTGCTGTGCCATACGTCACGTTGCCAAGCGTGTGCAAATTTAACCCATCAGCCCAAGGGGGAAAGGGTGCTGTACAGCCGCGAATACGACTGAGATACGGGCGTGGAAAGGATTTGGTGTACTTATGCCAGCATGCATGGAAGGAAGAGGCGGCGCATTACCAGGGAGCACGTCTGAAGATCATCAAATCCAACTCACTTTAGTTATCCAATAGGCGATCTCTGTTTGACTAACAGTATGTAACAGTTAGCGGAAATCGTTGCCAGAATTTAGTTAGCGTAGATATAAATTGAACCACGCTAGTGCAGGTACAACAATACGGTCTTAATCACTGAGAGTGGCAGACAATATGATTGGCTGCTATTTAGCTAAGCTGAGAGCCTGCAGTATCTTCACGGAATCTTCGGCCATCGGTATACTATACTAGATGGGCATGTTTCGTCCCCTTGCCGTTTCAAAAAGTACAGTACATCAACTACCGGGCTAGCATGAAAGGGACTTATAGTATGGTGCGACCATGATGTGGCTGTCTCTTCGTCTAGCTACTTACAGTAGCTAGCCGGCACTTACGGATCTGTATTGCCGAGTCCTTTGCAGCACCTAGCAAGGCTGTCTTGTCTGTCTTTTGCAACAAATCATTTGCATCTACATAGATAGCATTAGCATGCCCAAGGCATAAATAGAGCTCATTCCTTGGCGCAAATAGCATTAACAAAAGGTATACTAAGTAAGTATAGATAATAGGTAGATAAAACAGATGCACTTATAATAACCAACTAAGACTTCACTAAATTAGCGGTTTGCTCTTATTTTTCATCTATGTCACAAGCTAACAAGCTAGGCAAGGAGAAAATAAGTAAATATAGACAAAAAAAAGAGCAAAAATAAGGAAATAACGGGTCTGGCCGGGGATTGAACCCGGGACCTCTCGCATATTTAAGCATAAGGTGAACCCTAAGCGAGAATCATACCACTAGACCACCAGACCAAGTGCCTCAAGGGCTGCTTTGATTACCTAAGCAACGAGGGTGTGAACAAGTCATCGAAGTCCTCTTATAAAGATGCCTCTACTTAGAACTAGCAACTTTACTTGTAACGTAGTTACTAGGTAGTTATCCTATAGCCCTACACTAGATGTCGGCCTTGCATTAAGAGAATACGCGTTTCACATTCGGTAAGCACAAGGGCACTCACTACATGTGGTTAAAGTACAAGTTGTAAAGCAGCAATTCTCTAATACACCATATACCGAGTACGATAGATGGGTGGTGGAGCGGACCTAGATTCGTTGGATAAGGGTTCTACTCTACTACCTTGGGTGTGTGATGATGTTGAGGCTTAGTTGTAGGTAGGTTCTAGCACGATTAAGTACTTCAAGTCTAAACGGTATAGCATATTCAACCTCTCAAGAAGCCGGTCGTTCGCTGGCCGTTGTAGGCAACAGCGGGCATGACAGTTGCTGTTGGGGATATTTTCAAAGAAGAGGTTAGTAGACAAATGTTTATTAAGCTCCTATGTTGGAAATGGAAATTCTCCTCCTCAAGGAAACGGCTATGATTTAAAGAGGTGTTTGAACTTGATATGTCTGGTTGGAATTTCCATCTTGCACCGAATAAATATAAGTAGCATAATGACTAGTATAAAATAAGCAGTGCTATAGAATTTGTCTTAAACAGGTTAAAACAAGCGGACTTGCTAGTTTAGTCAACATCCGCTAGTCTAAAGTAGGAATGCCCTCTTAGGGCTGTTGCTACGCTCGCGAAACCACAACACAAAAGGTATCCCGATCATAAAGATCGAGAAAAAATCTAGTTGATATAGGAGGAATTGAACCTCCGATGTTGGACTCGCGGGGAATCGAACCCCGGACCACTCCCATGCTAAGGGAGTATTATACCACTAAACCACAAGCCCGTGGACAATATATTATGTTGTTTTGTCGGTAAACAGATCTGAGTACTGCTTCGGGACCTTCGGGCTTGTGTCCGTCAAATGAAAGGGATGCATGGGTGGTATGGTGATGGCGTATGGCAAGCGCCACTGCGTCTACAGTAAAAGATTGCGTGAGACATGTGGCTGTTGTTCATGATGATTTCCTCCATGTTATCGGCTATTGGCCCCTTGAAGGACATTACGATATCTGGTGGAACAAAATACAGAACTGCTTCAGAAAAGTTCTGCTTCTATGATCAATATATTTGGACTTATGTTGAAGAGGTAAGGTTAATCACCAACCACCGAGATACCATCTGAGACGGACATAACCCCGGAGCCATAGTAGTTGTAGCCTGTACTAACTGGCGTAGTTTCTTGTAAATCTGAGAATCCCGCTGGATCTCTAGATGGTTGATGTAGAAGTCCTGTGCTACTACTCTAAGATCTCGGCCATTTGAGTTTCTGGTTTGCTGGGTATAATTCGGGGCCAAGTCTATTACTCTTGTTGTACGAAATCGCCATTGGCACAAGTCACCACGACTGCATTCAACAAGATACCCAACTACAACATAGCTAATGGGTGACATCTTTATACATTAGACATGACCCGGGTTCGAGATTACCTCCATTGGCCATAAGTAGAATTAGCAATACCCATTATGGGTGGCTGTTATAATCCAACTCGCTAAACTGGCTAGGTACCTATAAAATACAGCGCTAAGCTCATGCAGGAATGAACCGATACTATTCTCTCTTAGATTATGATGCGAGAGGCTAAGAAAGGGGGTATCACGCTTACCATGTCTCCAAACCAACCCCCGGCCGCTGTGTACGGTGTTGAAGTGAGAACGTTATCATCAAAGAGCCCACCCTTTGGCTCACCGTAGTATGTCGCGAGAAGCTTTGACTGTCCCTCGGCTCTCATGAACTTTGGCAGTTGAACCATGCGCAAATCCGTCTCTCCACGGAATTTTAAAAGCTATCAAACAAATGGTCGAACTGACTGACCATTGACTCGGTATATGGATCCCTCTTTCCGTCATCCTCCGGATATACATCAAAGCACTGCGCGTCAGCAGGATGCCGTACGTTAGGCTGAATGGGCGGGCGAATCTGGCGGCGGTAAAGAGCTTCCCAGTCGATGCCGTGGAAGAATGGATGAGATTTCACCTGCTGTGAGCCACCACTAATATTTCCTAGCCGTCTGGAGCGATCCACCGTGCAGAACGACCGGATGATATGCTGCGCATTTGGAGAGATGGGTGGCTCTTGAGGGAAAAGGACTGGCTTCTCAATGATCCTAGATGATGTTGACAAGGGAACTGGTGGAAAAGGGTATCAGGGGGACGTACTGCTTATAGATTTCGATCGGGTTCTGGTGCCAGAACGGGGGGTATCCGGTAACAAACTCGTACTACAACACTCGGGGTCAGCTAACGCCGCTTTAGGAGCGGACTGCAGCCATTGTGTGAATGTGGAAGGCTTTTTCATATGAAATAGGGACCTTCAGTCACATGAAGGCCTAGAAATTACGCACTATTAGAATCCCCAAGGCCCACCAGTCAACTGCTGTGGTATGGCCTTTATTTTGGATCACCTCGGGCGCGAGATACTCAGGGGTTCCGCAAAGAGTGTAGGTTTCGACTGGTCTGTCGCCTTTACTTCCCAACCTCTTGGCGAAACCAAAGTCCACAAGCTTGACATGACCTTGCCCATCAAGCAGTAGATTTTCGGGCTTGAGGTCTCTGTATGCCACGCCGCCTTGGTGTTCATGTAAAAACTCGAGGACTAAAACAATCTCAGCCGCGTAGAACTGCGCCCACTCTTCTGGAAACCGGCGGTGCCTCCTAAGATAACTGAATAATTCACCACCGGGTATATAGTCGAGGAGCATATAGAGGGAATCGTAGTCGGAAAAGGTAGTGATTAGCCTCGTGATGAAGGGGTGGCCGGCGACATCGCTAAGGATCCGGCGCTCGTCTCTGACGTGATCGATTTGCTTAAGTTTGATCACCTCGGTCTTTCGCAGGATCTTGAGTGCAAAAACTTGCTCTTTGTCGTCATCACTCCCGACAGCTGGACGGACAAGACAGACGCGAGCAAAAGTTCCTAATAGGCGCCACGAAGGGCTCCGTGTTAGTGACTGTGGGTTTTCGTCTCGCGAATACAAACACCAAGACAAGCGCCAGCGCGCGCAAGGCGCGTCTAGTCTACATATGATGCCAGAAGAAAAGGAACACGAGAAGGGGTGTAACTGAAATAGGAAACATACCAGTACCGAGAGTTCGGACGAGAGCAAAGTCGCTCAATTTCACTCGCTGATGTTGCGGTGGCACCTTAAGCCCCGCATCCTCGCTACCGTGAGCATCTTGCTGCGAAACCCCGCCAGCAGCATCTGTCGCGGCGGCGATGGGGGCCGAGTTGGGGTCTTGCGCTACTCCTGGCACTGGGCCTGGATTAGAGGCCACTGTGGCGGCCATAATCGTCAAACGATGGCTCGTAGCTGTGTAGTCGACTCGGATTGACCCTATGCTGTTGAAGGGTCAGCATTGGGAGGCCGGGGAGAGGCGCAATGGCAATGCATCGATGATCAGTTGCCGTAGGTAGGCTTGGTAATAAGGAGCACGGAGCAGGCATGTAGCTAATAATAAGAGGAGGCTGATCAGCGAGGATGTTAGGGTGTCAAGGGTGTGTCAGATCCACATGCAAGCAATCGAGCCCACCCAAGATGACTTTGCGCTACTATAGTCAGTCTACAGTACTGTAGCGCAAGCGCACTACTTACGTACCTAAGGCTATTTATTTACATAGTAACTACCTAGGTAGGTAGTGTACAGTCACCAGGTGGTCACTGGCACAGCGTGACAACAGTGGAAGCTAAGCGGCTGGCGGCGGGCAATTGGACGTTCCGGAGTCAATTTCCGAATACTATGTAAGCCATGGCACATACATATACATATGGGTATTTGAGATGCAGGGTTATGCCGAGCACCCGCTACTGCACTGTAGTAGCGAAGCGCCAGCAAGAATCGTGATAGTGTGGTGTAAGACTTACGCGGTGATGCAACCCTCATAGATACCAGCCTCGGATGTCATGCCTGGTAGCCAATATTAATTTCAAAGGCTGATCTTGGAATAAGATATGATATATCATAAGTTGCACGTAGGTAGAGGCTTCAATCATTGTAATCAATTCCAAGATTTGGCAGATGAAATGGCCATGGATTCCAGGCTCTAGATTAGGTACTTACAGGTAGGTATGTCTATACGATGACGTACTGTGACCTACATATGGGAAATGCTGACCTGGGAGCCGGAAACTGGAGAAGGTGGGGGCGGCGTGGGGCCCCATTATGCTGTACCAGTAGTACAGTACGAATTGTTGTCATCTTAACCTGGAAATCTCTCGTGGTAAAAACGTGGGAACGTCATGTGGGTTGAGCTTGGAACCCACTGTATACTACTACTACAGAAGTGCTGTACAGTAAACCGCAGTTCCAACCTACATACCTGAGGGACCTAAGGGGTCTTGTTCATCTCAATTTTTGCAAGTTACAAAAGAAACTACAAGGTACCTACGTACCTGACTTCTGCAACGGGAATCGCTAATCTTAGGTGTGAAAGTCCATACACTAAGAGGGCTTCATTTCCTGACACTGTTGTAATGAAGTATGTAGTACCTATGCTATATACATGCCCATTGTACCTACCTGTCACGTCGAGGTAGCATCGCATAGTACCAATAATTACATACATGAGTAGTGGAATTCCTTGTGTTATCAAGGTAAGTTGTATTGACCATCGTTGTTGTGCAACAACTACTAAACCTCATCTATTTTGTTGCGTTGTCCTATCACACAAGGGTGAGGATACAATTCGGGGTATTTGTCCAGAGCACCTACCCTTGTGCAACCGCCATTTGGAACACATGCTCTGCCCTTGTCCGTTTTCATTCAGTACCTCTTTGGGGCCTCACTCACGCCAACTCTGGGTACCTAGCCCTGTTATATATATATATGTATGTGTGTGTGTGTGTGTGCATGGGCGTATCTT